GGGTGCACACTGGGGGCTGTGCCCAGGTAAGAGGCATCAGGCAGATGGGTGGGGGCAGTAGGGTGAGGGGGTTTACATGGTGGAGCCTATAGGCCCTGCTGGGGGCATGGGTGGGAGATACCAGAGCCTAGTGTCTGGCAGAGGTACCCTGGAGACGGGAGCCAGGGCTCAGTCACTGATTGTACCCCCCACTGCCCAGGCTCCTGTCCCTAAGGCTCAGAACTGAAGACCCTCAGGCAGACCCATTCTCCCCCACCAGAGGGCACCACGCCAGGTATCTCAGCAGCAGGGCCATCTGACCTGGGGTGCTTGCTGGCAGCACTGCCTGGACAGCAGGGCCTCCTCCCAAGCCAGCTAGGGGTGTCTTAAGGCCTGCCCTCCCTGCTAGGCTCGGGTGGGACCCTCAGGGACAGGCAGCAGTGGGCAGGGGCCAGCAGGTGCTAGCAGCCGTGACCATAGCAAAGACTGGGCCCCAGACGATCTGGTTCTTTTTTTTTTTTTTTTGAGATGGAGTCTCACTGTCACCCAGGCTGGAGTGAGTGGCGCAATCTCAGCTCACTGCAAGCTCCCCCTCCCGGGTTCAAGCAGTTCTGCCTTAGCCTCCCGAGTAGCTGGGACTACAGGCGCCCGGCACCACGCCTGGCTATTTTTTTTTTTGTATTTTTAGTAGAGACGGGGTTTCACCGTGTTAGCCAGCATGGCCTCAATCTCCTGACCTCGTGATCCACCCGCCTTGGCCTCCCAAAGTGCTGGGATTATAGGGGTGAGCCACCGTGCCTGGCCTAAATCTGGCTCTTCAGATTCCAAGAGAGAGGGTACAGGAGCCTCTGCTCAGTCTGAAGAGCACCCAGAAGGAGGGAACCTCAAAGAGCCCTGAGATGGAAGGCTCTCCTGGCAGCACCTCCTGCAGGGGTACCTGTGGAACAGGCTGGCCCCAGGGCTAGGAGAATTCATGGCCCAGTCAGCTTCCCTGGGCTGCCGCGGTGTGAGAGCTGGGCCTAGTCCTGGCCCCTGACATCCTAGTGAGGGCTGGGACCTTGGTAGTTCTGAAAGACCTTTACTGGATTGTTCCTTCCAGAGTGGGGGATGGGACACACACACGCTGTGGCGAGGCATTGCGCCAGCTCCTGGATGCCTCAGCCTTGTGAACTTGGGGCAGGATGCTCATGGCCCATGGTCAGCATGACAGGTAGGTAGATTCCAGCCTGGTCACTTCTCCAAGGGTGCATAATTGAGCAGCTTCTCGATCAGGTCCACGTGGGCCAGCAGCATCCTGCGGCAGCAGTAGCGCTTCAGGCCCAGGGCGTCCAGCGCATCCCTGTGTCAAGCGAGGGGAGGAACAGAGAGGCCAGCTGAGTTCTCCACGGTCTGCACAGGCCTGGAGCCCACATCCAAGCTGCCTCTCACTGCCTGTTGGCCTCACTCCCCTGCTACCGGCAAGGCGAACACGTTCACCCGGATCAGAAGTAGAGACCTAGCGGTATGATCCTGGCTGCAGTAACCTGGCAATGCCCAGATCCCTGGGTGGAGCGTGAGGAGCCTCCTCTCCCACCTACTCTGGCTGTACATATGTGTGTCTAAGATATGTAAGAAATATAAACGAAACGAAAACTAGAAGTAATTGGGGGAGCATAGAAAACCAAGGCCACCGAGGTCCTGATGTACAGCTCCCCTCATCCCACACCAGCCACAGCAGGGTAGCTCTCCAGGGGCCTGCCCTTAGCTGGTTCATCCCCCACCCCGGCCAGAGCAAGCCCTACTCTGTCACTGTGGCGTCTTTCCTCACCTCTGCTTCCTTCAATCAGGGAGACACTGCTTCTCCAGGGAGCCACCTCTCCCATTTCCCAAGCCAATTAGAAGCTTTAATTTCCCTGGGACCAAGGTCCAGTCACCATCAATACTTCCAGAAAACTCCCACACTGATGGCTCCAATGTGCAGAGACAGAAGCTTGGGAAAGGGGAGGCCACATGGGAGGCCCCTGCGGTTCATATCCCTGGGAAAGGGTCTGGACAGGCCACCAGCCACTCTCTCTGGCAGCCCACTCGCTTTACTCATTCGTCCAGCAAGCTGCACTGAGAGCCTATGGCAGGCTGGCACACACGAGCCTGGGGTTTCACATGTGACCAGGACTCAGCAGGCAAGGGTCAGACTCCAGCGGGGGCACCAAGACTCATGCACGGTGGTGACAGCAGCACTGAGGGACAAGCACAGGAGAAGGATGCCTCCCCCACAAAGCCCGATGATGAGGGTGGTCAGCAAGTCTGCCTTGCATTTCTTTTTCTGTGTGTGTGCGCGTGACACGGAGTTTCACTCTCTCATCCAGGCTGGAGTGCAGTGGCGTGATCTCGGCTCACTGAAATCTTCACCTGCCTCCCAGCCTCAAGCGATTCTCTCGCCTCAGCCTTCCAAGTAGCTGGGACCACAGGTGTGCACCACCAAGTCCGGCGAATTAAAAAGATAAGAGGGCCAGGGGCGGTGGCTCACGCCTGTCATCTCAGCACTCCAGGAGGCCGAGGCAGGTGGATCACCTGAGGTCAGGAGTTCGAGACCAGCCTGGCCAACATGGCGAACTCCTATCTCTACTAAAAATACAAAAATTAGCCGGGCGTGGACACGCATGTAGTCCCGGCGACTCGGGAGGTTGAGGCAGGAGAATTGCTGGAGCCCAGGAAGCAGAGGTTGCACTGAGCCAAGATCGTGCCGCTGCACTCCAGCCTGGGCGACAGAGCGAGACTCCGTCCCAAAAAAGAGAAAAAAAAAAAAGAAAAAATTTCTGGAGATCAGGGTCTCCCCAGGTTGTCCAGGCTGGTCTCGACCTCCTGGGCTCAAGCAAGCCTCTCGCCTCGGCCTCCCAAACTTCTGGGATTACAGGCGTGAGCCGCCGCGCCCGCCCGTCCTGCAGCGAGGTTTGCAGGACATGGGGTGGGTCTGGAAGCAGAGACGAGAGATTAGGACGGAGACCAAGGGCTTTACTGCGGGTGACAAGACGCCTGTCACCCGCCAGGCCACCTAGAATCCCCAGGACACCACTAGTTTGAAGCGCAACTCCGTTCTCTCCCCAGACTTCAGGGGACAATGTTCTCCC